TATAAATAATTTAAAAATACTTCTCATTCGTGAAGGGATAAAATAAACGTTCAGGAAATAGTTAATTAACATAGCAATTTTTTAAATATATATAATTAACAATTTTTAATATATATAATTAACAATGCATCGATATATGTGTTAGTGGTGGATGAAATATTTACAACAATAAGAACAATTTCTTTATTTAATTACAAAGATTATCAAATATAAATATTAAGTTTAAATATAATTAATTTCTCATAATCACATGCTCACACCTCTTTTCACTATCAAAACTCAATTACAACTGACCTATGCCAAATCACTCTCGCTTTGTTCTTTCTTCTTTCATACATTACATTAACATATATAATTCACACAATATCTCAATTATTACACGCATACTCATTTATCACAATAACCTGAATTTATTAGATATTGCCATCCCATACATACTTGTTCCACTCATCCCTTTCTTACATACAGCTCCTTTATTATATCACACATACATATTTAAAAATCTATGTAACCATTACCACAATATGTACATATAGTAAATCATTGGTAAAGAGAAACCAAGGGAAATTCTTTAAATTAAAAAATGTCAATAGCGATAAAAATACTAAAATTATTTTTAATAAATAACTAGTGGCAGAAATGAAAATATTATGTCACCTGTATTCAATTACAAAGTGAAGCATCGATACTAAAATACTAAAAAATTCGAAGAATATTGTTAGTTAATAAATCAAAATATTAAAATTTAAATATCATAAAAAAAAGAAGAAAGACAGACATAATGACTATAATTATTTAACAAACCATGAGAATCTTGGAAAACTCCATGAAGGTGGTATTTAAATTTCAAAATAGCACTTTTCCGTTCTGCAAGTGATATTTCAGCGTTTTGAAAACACTATTCATGTATGTTGATGCAACAGGTATACATAGCAGATGTCCAAGGATACGCTTTAATACTTTATGATGGTCATTCCTTCCGACGATTCACATCCAGTGCGTTCGACTTCGACCCAAGATACACCACGTACACGATCGAGAACCAGAGTTTCCATTTGGATGACGGAATCCTGGGAATGGCTCTATCTCCGCGAACGCAGAGACTTCACTTCAGCCCCATGTCTTCTCACAATCTAGCATCCGTTGACACGAAGCAGTTCTTGCTTTCGGGAAGCAACAACGTTCAGTACCGAGTGTAAATATCACGATAAATAATAGCGTAAAATAGTTCAAACACGACTATACATTGACTGATGATATTAATATCGAGTAAAGAAATTTGTTTTACATGGATTGTACAGGGTAATTTAAAAAAGGGACTCGAAAGTCTCGTAATTTTATGATAATCACTGAATGGAGTAAGAAATAATTAATGAACGTAATTAATAGATCCAGAAAATGATTTTTCCGACTTGAAATTCATAATTATCTAATATTTAACTATTTAAATAAAATTAAAAATTAAGAAATTAAATAAATATTAACTACTAACTATTTATGAATAGACACTTGATATTTTAAATTTGAATAGAAAATAGGTATATCGAATATATATTTATAATATAGTTTCATATGTGGAATAATTTATGATTTTTATAATTTTGAACAAGTATAAGCAATAAAAGTATTGCAGAAAAGACTGGCTTATGATATCGAATTCTAAATAATAAAATTCGATTTTTTACATAGGAAAAGTTTTAGAATTATCGATGAATACTAACTTTGGATTACTATACTTCTAAACCAATTTTTGAACATGCAAAATATTGCAATAAGTTGGCTCATGATACGAAATACTAGATAATAAAATTCGACTTTAGATAAAAAGAATTTCAGAATTATCGATGAATATTCCAAGTCCTTAAAGCTTTGGAGCTTTCAACTAAAGAACTATCGATGAATACTAACTTTGAACTACTATACTTCTAAACCAATTTTCGAATATTCAAAATATTGCAATAAGTTCATTCATGATACGAAATACTAGATAACAAAATTCGATTTTAGATGAAAAGAATTTCAGAATTATCGATGAATGTTCCAAGTCCTTAAAGCTTTGGAGCTTTCAAGTAATTTGTATGTTGTCATTGATTTCAGGGGTAGCGGTATTCTATGGACCCAGGCTAGTGCTAAAGCGGTGTCAAGAACCGGAACCGTTTTCTTCGGCCTCGTCAGTGACACCGCGATTGGGTGCTGGAACGAGAATCGTCAACTGAGCAGAAAGAATATCGTTAGTAGTCACATACTTTAGAAGACTTAAAAATAGAAAGAACTTTTCCATTATCTTCAAAATCACTGTCACGTGAAAGTCTACTTCGGTGTCGACGTTCCACAAACTTTATAATTAATTTCTCAGGGAGAAATTCCTCAAACACTCAGAAGCAATCTAGATAGACATCAAACTAAACTTTCACGAGATAACAAATTTAAAACTAACACAACGAACGACTCAAAGAACCATGACAATAGCCTCGAATCTACTATTTAAACATAATTTTCAAATTTAATTATTCGCTGTGTTATCTTTAAATTTGCTATCACAATAAGACGTGAAAGTCCGCTTTGACGTCGACTGCAACTAATTTCTTCAGCCTACTCAGCTGAAACCTCCAAAGGCATTCCAAGTTGACAGCAAAGTAGATGTTCCATCGTGGAACAAGGAAAACACCGTTATGGTCTTCCAACAGACAGGTCTTTAGGGTCAAACAATTTGGCATCGGAATTTTCCTATCCATGCCTTCTGCATGTTTGAAAACTTTCACTCTTATTATGACTTCCTGTGTCGTGGAACACGAGAATCCGTGAGAACCCTAATTTAGCGAAATTAAGATTTCGCTGTTAAGATTTAGCTGACAATAGGCCTGAGGGCTCCACGTGGTCCACGTGGTGGATCCCTCCGCACACGTTGGAAGCCTCAGGCCCTAGCGAGGGGCCATAAACGGCCGATTGGCTCACCAGTGCATTGGTAGACCCCATGTACCTCACCTTGAAGAAGAGGGTTCCTTTCACCGTCGTCTTTATTTGGAAGGATCTTCCCTTCTTTCAAGGTGACCGATTTGTGAACCAAGGGTGTTCGGGGTTTGTAGATGGCGTCTCGTGGCCGATGACTATAGTCACCCGTAGTAGCGACAGGGTTAATTATTCCTTCTATTCCATATCCTGTCCTATTAACCCTTTGCACTCGACGATTCTTTGGCTAGAGAAGAGTAGGAAATCAAAGATTCTTTATTAAAAAACTGACGATACTTTTTTGAGCAGTAACTAAAGAATTGTAGAATTATTTAACTTCGATAATTCGTACATTGTTATATTACATTAAATTTGATATATTAATTAATATCGGTCTTCCAAATTTGATGAAATGGTGACTTAAAGTCACCTCTCGAATGCAAAGGGTTAATTTTAGTTCAATCTTCAATCAAGTGCTTCAGAGTGCCTGGCTCCCGGTTACAGAGTTTACATCTTCTGTCTTCTACCTTCCTCCAGAATTTGTTCTTGTTAATTAATGTGTTATTTACTAATGTAAAAAATTGTTATTACTTGCTAGGACGTCGTCGCGAAGAATCACGTGACCTTGCAGTTCAGCAGTGGTATGAAGATCAAAAACTTGGGTCGCAGAGAATACATGTGGGTAATGACAAACAGGTACCAAAAGTTAGCAACGGGCACCACGAATTTCACTGACGTGAACTTTCGAATTCTGAAAGCGGACGTGAAAGACCTAATCAAAAACACCTGCTGCATGCCACCCGATGAACCGTAAATCCATTGACAAATTCCTGGTCGATGCGAACCAAGTATTATCCATAGTTCTTTGCGTTGTAACAGTGTGAAATAAAATGTGAATTCACAACGTTTCCCAACTTCCTGCTGCGAGTCATAATCGCGACTCGATTTTATTGCAAGCGTAAACACAGTGTTCCGGGCAACATTCTTCTTCATCTTTGGCAAGGAACGAGCATTTATGAGCAACTTCCTGGACTTTACTGCTGCTTAATCGTCAACCTTCGTTTCCTAGTATCGGTGAAAATATTCCAGGCTGACTTTCGTTCTCGTACCGGCGAAATTTTGAAGGATCTGTGATGTGGAAGGTGGAGAATTATGTTTGGGACGAAGGAATAGTTCGGTGTTTTCGTGGATCATTTGGTTGAGCTTCGTACGAGTTGCTGTTAGTCTTGACGAAGGCTTTTTGTAAAGGATTTAAGGATAACTTGATCCCTTGGTCTCCTGTTTTCGAATAGCAATGGAAATATTGCTGGTTGACTTTTGACGGATCACAGCTATAACGAAAATATAAAATTTTTACATAAATCATTGAGGTCACATTTTTGGTAGCAATTGTGAATATTAGCAGTAGATTCTTGAATTTTAACGTCGTTTGATTATTATCTTCCATTATTGGATAGCAATGGAAATATTGCTGGTCAACTTTTGTCGAGTCAGAGCTATAGCGAAAATATAAAATATTCTTTTTATTTTTACGTAAATCATTGAGGTAACATATTTGATAGCAATTGTAAATGTTAACAGTAGATTCCTGAATTTTAAGGTCGTTTGATTATTATCCTCCATTATTAGGTAGCAATGGAAATATTGCTGGTGCAATTGTGAATTTTCAATAATCTTTCATTTTTATTTCGACTAGTTAAATTTTAATAGATTAGCGTTATCAGCGAAATAAAAATATCGCAAGTATCCTTTATTCCAAAATTAATTCTATCTCCACACAAAATCATGCACTCGAATTTTTTATTATTAGCTGTAAATTTTTATGGTTGTTCCCTGGATTTCATTGTTCTTTAATTGTCCAATTTTATCTCCTCACAAATTCGTCATCTAAGTGTTTTATGAAGTTATAAACCTTAATAACAACTTCCTGAATCCCAGAATCATTTAATCACTATCCTCCATTTTCGAGAATCGACCAAAACATTGCATCTCGATTTTTGATGATTCAGCACTATCAAAGAAATATTATAATATAACACCAATCATTTATAATAATTTAGAATAATATATTCTAGGAAATATTTTTTAAAATAGATTCCTATAAATTTTTCGTGCCAAACCATGCTTGTGATTGATGACCAACACTTGTCACGTGAGCAAAATTACACTTAACAATAACGTTTTATTGGATGATACACAAAATTTGTACAAGTTTAAACATTCTTTATAATTTATTGCAAATGGAATAGATTTGAAGCTCCTGACTAAAATGCATAATCTGTCACAATTTGCACTATGACTTAATTATTAAAAATTACAAATTTAAGTAGTATTTAATTTTAGTTAACCATTATATACCTATTTCATTCACGATAAAGTTACGATTAGATAAAAGTGTAAGAAATCCTTCAAACTTTGCGTGTGTTGGGGCGTGTGGAATATAATTATGGTCGCGCGGTTAGTATAGTTCATAATTAAAAATTCGCGATGAGGTAGACTCATCATTACAGAGTAAAGAGTTAAATCGTAAATAAAAGGGCTCAAATTTTAATCTCAGCACAAATCTCATTAGATTTACCTAAACTCTCTAAAGATTTAGTTTCAGATCTAACCTTCCAGCATATATTAATCGCGTGAAATATAATTATCGTGCGGTCAGTATAGTTTATAATTAAAAATTATAATGACGAGGTAGACTCGTGATTGCAGAGCAAAGGGTTAAATCGGAAATAAAAGGGCCCAAATCTTAATCTCAACACAAATCTCATCAGACCTACCTAAACTCTCAAAATCTACTTAAACCCTCTAACGATCTAATTTCAGATCTAACCTTCCACCGTATATTAATCACGTGGATCCATTCATTTCCATCCATTTCGATTTATCAAACTCGTTCTCCGGAGATAAATCAATTCGAGTGTAAAACTCGCCAGTCATTGCCCTCGATCTTTCTCGTTTAGCCGCAACACGAACATTAAAACCTATCACACTATCGCTCGACCAGAATGACCTGTTCTTGCCTCTATCACAATAAGAACCATCAATCATGGCGTTCCATTTCTTCCTGTCAACTGAACGAGACATCGATTTGCTGTTAATTAAAAGATTACGCAACGTAAGTTGGTTGAACGAAAGCTCTTCTTAGAGTTAGGATACCTCTTGGATATTAAGTAATTCTCGTAGATCTGACCGTGTGGGTTCTTAAGAAATTAGATAGTGACGCAACTGTTCCGGTTGTTAGAACACGATCTTATGCAAATTATCGAGGGCAGTATGTTATACTAAACGGTGGACCAAATGAAAACGAGGATTAATCGATGAACTCAGGAGCTGGACGTATAAGCATTGGCTCTGTGGATGATAGGCACAGTATACCTTTATACTTTCATCGAGTTTGTATCTCGATCAGTTAAAACTAGTTCAGGATAAAATATCTAGTAATTATTAAAAACTAATAATTAATTAATTGTGAAGTTAATGATACTTAATTAATAATTAATTAATTAATTAATAATAATTAGTAATAATTAATTGTGAAATTTAAGATTGGACGGTGGAAATTGGAAATTGAAAATTGGAAATATAAATTATTCACAGTCAGAAGTTAAAAATCACAAATTAAAAGCTGACAGTATAAAATTAAAAATTGGAAGGTAGAAATTAATAATTAAAGTTTAGAAATAAAATATTCTCAATTCAACAATAGAAACTGAAATTTTAAACTCAAAATTGGAAATAAAAAATTCAGAATGAAAAGGTGCAGTTTAGAAATAAAAAATATCGAAATGAAAGGATCAAAGTTTCTTAAATTACTCGAATTTCGTTCCAGTTATTCGTTACAAATTCGCAAGTTTCTTCGTTCGAATTGATTTTCACATTTGAAAGTTCGTCGATCGCTGAAAATAGGAAGGTGTGCATAGAAAGTGAAAAATAACACATCGTAAATATTGAATAGATCGGATCGCACCGACACCATCTGTGAGCATTTAATGTTGTACTTCGAATTACAGAATGTATACAGGGATCAGATAATAATGAAATTTTACGGAAATCTACACCATCATTTATATAAAAACTGAGCAACTAAACGAAGAGCGGAGGGTGTATAAAAACATGGCTTTCTGCTTTCCCGGTTAGGCTGAACCGATCCAATTTCAGTCTGGCTATTGGTCCCTGAGTGTCAGTCCGCGCGATTAAGTAATCTCGAACGGTTCTGTGCATCGCTCCTTGAAAAATCACCAAAAATCCCCTAGAAGAGGGAGACAAACATCGATCGAGACCCAACTCGCACGATTCTCGGCCGAGTAATTAAAAACGGACACTAAACCCGAAAAACCGAAAATTTTTAATAATACCTTCTCCATTTCATAACCTAAAATCGCACGACGAATTTTAACAAATTATTTTAACAAATTACATATAAAAACTAATAAACGAAACTTGTACGATTAAATATAAGAAAACATAAGAAGAAGGAAGAGAAAAATAATTTTGTATATTTAATTACAGTGAGTAAAATTTATAATATCAATTTTATAATATTAATAATATTAAAATACAACGTGTTAAATTAGTTGAAAGATATTTCGTGGTAGGATGCAGTAATTTTAAATTAGTTAAATGATATTTAATAATTTGCTATAATTTGCTTACCAAATTAATTAATCCAACGATAAGATCGAAGAAGAGCATGCATCCTAAAAATTTTCAAAATTGAAGATTTCCGAAAAGAAGACATGGAATTTTAGAATTTTCCGGGAATTAGGTTTTCAGAAAATAGGGATTTAAGGAATCCCTAATTAGGTTTTCGGAAAATAGGGAAAAGGCGGACAGGTAATTTGAGGATCGAGCCGCGCAACTCGTCGTCAAAAAAGGATACACGATAATCTTCACGATCTCTACGAGGTGTTACTGGATCTAGGAAGGAAGTGGCACGCGAAACCGAAAGTGTTGTCCGGTGGAAAGCGGCGTTTATGTTAAATTCGAGCGGTCTCGCGTCATTTGTCGAGCGAGCCATTGGACCGAGATAGACAGCGTTTCAGGTAATGTAGATCATTCGTTTCTCTGCCTTTTCCGTCAGTTCGATGACCATGAGCTTGACTCCTCAACGATCGAGACGAATCCGATCGGTATAGATCCGAGCGTTTGATCAATTTCGAGTAACGCGAAGAAGCTTTTTCCTTGCTTTTCTTTTCTATTTCGCAAACCGGTCGTCGAGAAACGATTCGTTTCGATTGAATTCGACTCGATTCGAGACATATTGGAGATCATACGTCGGTGCGTGCTAACGAGTGAAATTTACGATGAGGAGAGAGGAAGTAGGTGTGAAAGAAAGGAAAGCGTATCGACGGTTAATTCCGACTCATTTGCATACGAAGCGTGGACAATACCTATCCGCCTTCCTCCATGAACTTCCGTTACGATCTGTTGATTCTTCCGGTATGCTAGGATGATTGTTAACTAAGAGTGTTAAATGTTAATTCGTGATTCTTTGTTTCTAATCCAACTTGCAGCTTGACGAGAAATTTTAGTTGCGTGGATGACACTTGGATAATCCCTTTGGATTAACCCTTTGCACTTTAGAGGCGTCCTTCAGTCGTCATTTGATAAAATTTCGAAGCTCGATATTAATTAATATATCAAATTTGAAATAATATAACAGTGTGCAAGGTATCGAAATTAAATAATTCTACTTGTCAATTATTGTACGATTTCTTATTTATTGCTCGAAAAATATCATTAGCTTTATAGCGGAAAATTTAAAACAACAGTTAATACAAAATTAGTACAGAAATTTTATTTACGTCTGAGCTCACGTCGCGATATTAAATTTCGATTTTTATCGAGATAATTAACCTTTTCGCTATTAAGGGTGACTATATTAAGGGTCACCGGCCACGAGACGCCATCCACGCACGACGAATGGCTATAGTCACTGGCCACAAAAATTGAGTAAAGAATTGAGGTTACCATTTCTCTTAGCTCCTTTCGCAAAGAATTGCAAGCTCTATTGCGATGGTCAGTTTTTCCTTTTCTTTTTTTCTTCAAAAGATTTGCGTCAAAGGACCGAATGGTAAAGATTGCACCATAGACTTCGCCGTAGCGAAAGGGTTAAGGAAAAAATACGACGAAATTGGTTTCATGGTGTGATTATGATATCCCTGGGGTTTTTAATTATTTTTATTTTCGGTTGAAGTAATAACCAAGTTAAGAATGGCAGAGTTGCAGAATAACGAGAGAATAACGAGATATATGTATTAAGAATTTTTAATTTCGAGTAAAGTAGAATATTAAATATATAAAGAATATTAAATATCTTTATTTATGGACCAAGGAAAAATATTCTCTGGTTAAAATTATACTATTTGGAGAGATAAGTATAAGAAAATGAAAAATTGTCAACGGTCGTGAGAACGTTGTTCAAGCACCTATTTCAATTGATCGTGAAAAAGACAGGAAAAACTTTGCTTACATTAGCATGGACGAAAAGAAAATGCGCGGCTTTCTTTTCGCGTTGAAATAACACTTTTTCGTCAAGGTACATTGAGAAATAGCTGAATATTTTACCTGCTGCCAGAAAAGAATCTCTATTGCATTTCTGCGAAGAGAGTGTCGAAAATAAAAAAACCCAGGGAATATATAATTCGCTAAAAGCACCATTAAGAGAATGCTTAATCACGTGATAAAATACTAATTTCCTATTCGTGTCTTCCTTCTCATTTTCACGTATAATTTCGTGATAAAAATTCCACTTAAATTTCATAACTAAATCTACCTCTACTTGAAATTTTTATTTCAAAATCGAGTTACAGCAGCTATATGAAATTAAAATTATTATTGCCATTATTAAAATTCTTATCATCTAATTTAATCGAAATTATTATTATTTATTATTCTTAAAATTATTATTACTTTTATTTATTATTCCTACAATTATTACTTTTATTTATTGTTACTAAAATTATCACTATTCATTATTACTAAAATTATTATTATTTCCTATTATTCAAATTATTATTCAAATTATTATCAATTATTTAAATTAGAATCGTCAGTAATTATTATTTCAACACCTGCAGGTAACTATAATTATTCGCAATGAAATGAAATTAAATGCCACATGACTGAATCAAAAACGTTCATCGTTTCAATCTTACACCTTTTTCCACAAACTAAATAAACAAGTCTTATTATCCAATTTAACCGAAATTATTGTTATTTATTATTTCCACAATTATTATTACTTTTATTTATTATTCCTACAATTATTACTTTTATTTATTGTTACTAAAATTATCACTATTCATTATTACTAAAATTATTATTATTTCCCACTATTCAAATTATTATTAAAATTATTATTACTTAATTTAATTAAAATTATTATCAATTATCCAAATTAGCATCGTCAGTAATTATTATTTCAACACCTTCAGGTAACTATAGTTATTCGTAACCAAATGAAATTAAATGCCACACGACTGAGTCAAGAACGTACATCGCCTCAGTCTTACACCTTTTTCCACAAATTAAATAAACAAGTCATATCCACGATTGCAGTCGCTGTTACGAAATTCCACCTTGACTGGCAGTTCTCGCTATTACATTGCGGTCCACGTTTTTCCACCACGCTTTCTCGACGACCCAATTGCACGGCTTAATTGAGACGTAATTACATACAAGTGACCCGTTGTCTCCTTCCTGCAGACATGCTATGACGAGAAAAACGAGAAGCTTCGAATCGGAAGTCGGAACACGCGGCTGGACGAGGAACTTATGGTCGTCGACCAGGCCAGCCAAACAATCCAACAGCTATGCCTACGTTTCACCGACGTTTGCCTACAGTTTCAACTGGGACAACCCTAATTCCAAGTACCAGCATGGCTGCCAGGGTCAGAGATTATCCCATGAGCGCGGTCTAACCGGTACAGGTAGGCTTAAATGTCATTTTCATCGCGCTATCAAGCGTTCGTGGTCGACGTGAACTTTCTTCGTTGCGAAACGTCGTTCAAACACATCCAGAAGGTACGTTCAGAAGGTTAAAGAAACAATGATATCAGCGACGGCTTTAAAAATAACCGCCAGAGCTGCAGTGGAGATGGAACTGACTGGAGTGATGGGAATAGTAATGTTAGTTCGATGGTACTTGTTGAATATTAACACCGTAACTACCATGGAGTTGTGTATCTAAATATACTGTAGACGGATGAGAATAATTAACGATAGAATTATCACGTCGCTTCAAACGAGTAGCTTCCGACTGTTGACTTTTGCTCCTGACAAGCAAACATTTATGGTTGTTCCTGGAGCCATAGTTACATAAAGTTAGTTATTTTTATTAGAGAATTGCGATTATTATAATTTTAGTATTCTTATAAAACTACCTGTTATTGACAATTTTTATTGGTAATTTTTTTTGACGATAGTATTATCACGTCGCTTCAAACGAGTAGTTTCCGACTGATGATTTTTACTCTTAATCGGCAAACATTTATGGTTGTTCTTGGACCAATTAATTTTTTAATTTTTGTATAATTATTATTTAATTTTATTTTCGAAACTTGGGCCTAGTTATATACAGTTAATTATTTTGATTAGAGAATTGTAATTATTATAATTTTATTATTCTTATAAAGCTACCTATTATTGGTAATTTTTATTCGCAATTTTTATTGGTAATTTTTATTGGTAATTTTTTGGCCTAAGTGATTTTCGCAACGTATGACTACGTATTAGATTTGGGTAATGCTCGTGAGGTATTAAATAGGCGTTTGAAAGCGGCGAATGGAAGGACGAGGAATACGATTTTTGTCAATAGGATTCGGGGTTCATTGACCTAGGTCGTTGACCAGGGGGCGATGGCCTTTTTGTAAATAGCCGTTTTGGTTTGTTACAGAAAAAACGGCATGACTAATTTTAATCTCGGTGTGTTTCTCTTGTACTTACCTGTTCTGTCACTGCATTAGGTGTGATTAGGTATAATTCCAGTGTTAATACCTTCACGGTACGTGAGTTTCGTTGTTAATAGTCATAAGATGAATCTTAAAAGTAGATGCGAATCAATAAGAACATTTATTATTGATAACAGGATATAATTATTAGATAATTATTTACGTAATTGCGATTTTAGTAGTTACTACAGGAAAAAGTATTTTGCAATGGCTGATGCAGCGACCGTGAAAAGTGTTCGCAGATAACGAAAGTCACGCATACGTGCTGCTTGGCGTGAAAGTATTAAAATTATCACACAAAGGGCCATTAAAAATATTCGAAATACGGTACTTGCAGCTTAGAACATCCGAAAACGTTTAGAGCTATACAAAGATAATCGAAATGTCGGTATAAAATACGATAATTATTCGAAAGATCCTATTTTCAATTTAGGAATATCCAAAATTATTGGAAGCAATTGTAATATTACTATGAAATTTAATAATGGTAATTTGCATCCATGAGCGTTCAAAGTATAGTACTTACACTCTAGAAATTTCCAAAATTATTGAATGCGATTAAAAAATTGGTGCAAAATTCTATCATATCTAGAATCCAAATTTCCAAATATTCAAAATAGGGGACACGATACCTCTAATCAACTCCTTTTATCAAAAATCGAAATATCGCATCCCGAATCCAAATTACCATAATTATACTTCGAATTCTCACCTAAAATCGATAAGAATGCAGGTGCCAACTATATACAGTAATGACACTGCGTGTCATAACACTGTAAAATTAAACCGCGTTTGGTCGCGCAAAAACAATAACAGTGTGTCCTCGTAAAAATAGGATTGCGCCGCAAAGCAAATCGCTTTCCGCGAAAAACTTACACGCGCCACTGTTCGAATGGTTTTCTGTCACCTCGAAGCGGCAACGACTATCGCAATTCGTCATTGCGCAACGTGCTTTTCCTCGCTTTCGTGAATCGAACGAAGTGCACCATAATGGCGTCAGAGACTATCAAATTTGCCCGACCTAATTGTCTCGCGGCTCATCCTCTATGGAAACGTCATTAAAACTTCAATTGAGTTCCCAACTAACCCCTGTCTCTTCGTCAAAACTTCCCATGCGAGCCAAGATGCTGAGTACATACACCTGGTATACAAACTTGCGATTCTAATTCACTCAAAAGCGATATACACAGGCCACGAAAGCCTTTCAGTTGTGGTAGATACTCGTGTCTGCATGCTGAATCGCTTATGGCTGCTTGAGAAACAACCAACAGTATAATTCTATACTTCTTTGCACTCGAAGGGCGATCTTTACTCATTTTTCATTGAATAAAATTTCGAAAATTAATTGATGTATTAAAATTTCATTTCATTTAATACAATTTCGAAGATTAATTGATATAATATATTAAAATTTCATTTCATTTAATAAAATTTCGAAGATTAATTCATATATTAAAATTTCATTTCATTTAATAAAATTTCGAAGATTAATTGATATAATATATTAAAATTTCATTTCATTTAATAAAATTTCGAAGATTAATTGATATGATATATTAAAATTTCATTTCATTCAATAAAATTTCGAAGATTAATTGGTATATTAAATTCAAGATAATATAATATTGTGCGAGGTATTGAAATTAAATAATTCTACGTGTTAATTATCATACGATTTTTTATTTACTGTTTTGAAAAATATCATCTGGTTTGTGGCAGAAAATCTTAGAATTTCTATTTTTCTGTAGCGAAAAGGTTTCATCAATGTAACATATAAATTCTCAAATTTGTACAAAAATTTTCTTAGATACCTCATATATTCCAGAGAGCTTTTCAATTTCGTCCAGGCTCTTCCAAAATTCAAAATTTATTCTAGACTCAGTATTAGCCCCAAAATTTCAGTTTAATATACCCACGAATTCCACAAATTTTTAATTTTTACAATTTTTTAAATTTCGATACCCAAGCTATTCGAATACTTTCGCGAGGAATTGTAGAACTCCGAAGAGAAGACTATCCATTGGTAGCAACGAGATCATACCTTTTCGTAGCTATATTTTCAAACTAATCAGCGACCAGGTGTGAAATGCTTCTACCTTGAATGCATGTTAATCTTCGAGAAATTTCAATCTCTGCCACAGCCAGTTCATCTCTCTCTCTCTTCAGTATCTATTTAACCAACTCCTCTTTCTCCTTCTTCTTCTTCTTCTCGTTCTCCGTGGCTCACGGTATCTGCTTTGATCGAAGAAACCGAAGAGTTCTCACGAGATTAATGCTGGCGTAACGATGCTCCGATGCATTCGGTCGGACAGATTCCCCGTTTCGTAACGTCAGACGATTGCTTAAAACTCGCTCTAAATATCGAGCATCGACTTGAGTAGAAAATTCGACGCAGCAACAGATTGTGAGAAACGTTGCAGAGCTGGAACGACGTTTCTATAATTGCTAGGTGTTACTCAATCGGTAAACAACCGGGAACATGATTTACGATGCGAGGAGAAATTAATAATCGAGTAATAGGTTTAATTAGATCATTCGCATGGTTAATATGCTAATTAGTACATTTTTATATTAGTCCCACTCATCATCGATCGTCTTTGATAGGATTTTTAAACGTCTTCGAATAATATAGAATCATGGATTGGGATTATCATGAACGTTAATGGAATTTTTCAAAAAATTCTGAAGATTTTATCTCGTTTTTATAACATTTTTAAAATGATTTATCGAAATGGACCATGTTGGAAGAGAACTTCGAAAATTTAGTTGGGATTTAAAAGAAATGGTTTTGAATGTTAGATAAATTCACATTACAAAATTCCAGTGACGAATTATAGTGATAAGATGATAGTTCTATAATTTTCCGAATTTTTTAGACTAATCCAGTGTATACAGATTTTGTACAGATATCAATTTTGATCAAATTATATCACTTTGATGGTACTCGAAGAACGCAGAAAATTGTGGGATGTGTCATCATTCCTTCGCATACTGCACTGTCAAAGTCAGTTTACTGAAATATTTCACTCATCTTGAGAAGCTTCCAAGAAATGCTATTCTATCCCTCAAAGTAAATTGTTAAAGCAACATTAGGATCATTCTATTCGTTTATACTTACAATTGACAATAGCTTCCACCAGAACCAAGCCAATTAACCCCATACCCAAGAGACTGAAATGTCATCTACATCGAGGATTGCCTCTGATCACAGTTTCTCCGCGTAGCTCTCGTTCCTCAGCCGTCACTGATGGCCCACCAGGAATTCCTGCAAGAAACCAGTATTACCAGTATTACATTCTACCAAAAGCAAGTGTTACCTGTCCCAGATCGAACAGATTGTTCTTGTTACCAATCACAGAATCATTTATCACGTTTACAGAGTTGCAGCAGCAACTTTCTTTCTCTCTTCGTTCATTTCATGTGTGTTTTATAGAGAGAACTATCTTTGTTCGAACATTCTATTATATATCTCAACTATTAGACCTAGAAAAGTGTGTGAAAACGCATCTACGAGTCTTGTATGAAAAAATATGGCAAATCGAATAATGAGACCTTTATCAGATGTGGCATAGTTACAAGAATGGAACTCTTCTTAATTTCATGACACGTTCTATCAAAAGCAACTGCAGCCTGTTCCAAGTGACACATTGTACCTGTCACCTGTCACAGAAACGTTCGTCGCATTTAGAGTAGTCGCTCGAGTAGGCTTCTACCAGCTCTTTCGTTCCATATATATATTTTATGAGAAGCAGCTACGACCTATTCCAGTCCAAACATTGTTTCAGTTTCTAGACACAGGAATATTTATGACGTTTGATGTATAATTGCTGAAGTAGACTTCTCTCAAACACTGTTCCAATGACGTTTGATATATAACTGGACTAGTTTGTGTTTCTTCATTTTAGATATATATGTATCACCGAAAGCATCTATAACCTAAGTGAAACATTGTTTTTATCACTAGTCAAAGAAGCTTTCGT